CAAGAAACAGATCAAAGCTTCGAAGCTGTTTGAAGTAGGTGACCAGGTGAAATGTAGAGAACGAAAGTATACTACCGGAAGTGGACCAGGATCAGGAAAGCTTCTGCCGAAGTGGGAGGGACCATATGTGGTCACATCGAGACGCGGTCCAGTGTACACAATAAAGAGAGGAGATAAAGAGAAAAGAGTAAACGCCAGTCTGCTACAAAGATGGAGAGAAGAATGTCAAGATGAGGTACCAGAAGAGCAGCAGGAAGAAACGTCTGTGCGGCGATCAAGGCGGTTACAGTAGAGACTTTATAATGAGGGGGCGAGTGTGGTGAGTGCTACTTATAACCCGATATAAGTAGTATATCAGGAACTAAGTAACAACATGTTTGGCACACCGAAAAGAGCAATCAAAGAAGAGAACCATGAGAAGAATGTTGCCATATGATGCAGAATCCAAGAAGCTATCGAATGAGACGATATTCGACCAATTCGTCAAGGATGTGGTGAAGATGTGCAAATGGCCGGTTTAGAATATGGTATTCCAAATTTAGCTATGTACCATACGTTTCACCAAATAAACAATCCTTTCAGTCTCCTCAGTCTTGTCTTCTTCACATGATTACAGATTACAAGAGGCATATAAATGCGATTGTACAGCTCTTGAGAATGAAATCACCGAAAAGATATCTTTGTTGAACTTCTTGTTCTTCTCAAATTAATTTCGTGCTGCACAACTTTAGAACAGTTGATGAGTGACTTCAGATGGCTTATTGATAATTCTGAAGATTTGTAAATAAAAGATTTTAACAAATCGTCAACTAGATATGCAAGAATTTATTCTAGAGTGCAGATGTATACTCCTTAAGTTTACTTCGACGTGTCAGATCCATCGTACATTTCAGGATGTGTATGTACATCAAAGCCACGATTTTCATAAAAGAGAAAACTAATTCAATACTTCCATCAAGTAGCTGACTGTAGAAGCCATAAGACAAACTCATTTTGTGAAAATTTGGTAATTTCAAGAATTCAGTGAAATCGATAGCAATCAGGAAAATTACTGAATGCAAGAAATCGGTTCATCTGTCTTGATCTTTGGCTTGTGACTTGAAATACAGAATACCTTAAGGATTCTAAACTTTTTCCAATTCATTATGAATCACTCCCACTAGAAATTATTGATGTTTCTTCTCCTTTTAAGTTTGATGTCATCATCCATGAATTTCAATAAGAACTACAGGAAATGTCTCACTTGGCCAATCATCTATGTATAAATACACAGATGTTTCTTTTTGCCAGCTAACATTTGACGGATTTCAAGGTTGACTTTGGGTGGAAAAGATACCATTAAACCGACAGTCTGTAGTGATGTCCAGTAGAAACCTCAATTAAACGTAATAAAATTATCCTGGCATGAAATCACTGACTGTAGAAGACATTTACCAGTTACTTAAATAAAATCTTTTCAGTTGTTCTTTACTTTAGCATAGTCAACAGAAAATAACTAAGCGTTTTCATGTGTTTCCTAGCACTCCTCAGTAAACTGCATCTGTAGATCTAAGTGACTGAATTCCACTGATGGCCTGACTATCACAGATTAAATAACAGTACGTTAACCTTGAGAAATTATCAAAGCCACCGAAATGTAAAAAAACGCTAAGGACTTCATTCCAGTATACGTCAATCTTGTGGGGAATACAAATTAGCCTTAGCAGATAAAAATCGTTGCCCGTTACGTGTTCACATGGTCCGATGGATGACGTTTCGGTATTCGAAACGATATGCCCCTAGTTTGCATCTCACTGGGTACACTATCACGCACTCGGAATGCAGGCACATCCAACCGATGAGTCCCAGGTAGGACGAAGCGCAAATCCTGGGTTCCACCGCTAGCTACTATCAACCAGATAGTATTGTATAGTTTTATAAGGCAATTAAGGGAAGCATTTTTGTATAAAACTGGTGCCACAAAACAAATACTTGATATTCTGTAATCTATGATATTATTTATGTGTACATTTAATTCAATTTAGGTTTTCCCATCGATTAATTAAACCGAAGTGCTCGGTCTCAGGTTGACATGTCGGCTTCTTGTGCAGATGCTTCGAAGATGTCTGGTTATGTAACCTGAAGTCAACTGGTGGACGGTGACTAGCAGTGGAATCCGCGAGAACGCGCATTTCGTCCTATTTGGGACTCGTCAGCTACTGGATGTACCTGCATTCCACAGTCACTGAGTGATGGTGTTCCCATCAAGGCTCGAACCCAGATAGGACGAAATGCACATCCTGAATTCCCCTGCTAGTCACCATCCACCAAATGACTTCAAGTTACTTGACCAGACATCATCGAAGCATCTGCACAAAGAGCCGACATTTCAACCTGAGACCGAGCACTTCGGTTCAATCAATCGACGGAAAACTCTAAAATTGAATTAAATAATTGATAAGACACGTTGCAAAAGAGGTGACTGTCATGGCTAAAGTGGTCTAGTGCATAACGCTTTGGCGCTTGAAACTATGGGCACTGGGTTCGAGCTTTGGTGGGAACACCATCACTCAGTGACTGGGGAATGCAGGCAGGTACAACCACTAGCTGACGAGTCCCTAGTAGGACGAAATGCGCATTGTCGCAGATTCCACTGCTAGTCACCATCCACCAATTGATTTATGTGTTCAGATAACTAAATCGAAAGACATTTTTTTAGTTAGACAGATTATTCTCAATACTCCAGTAGCAAATTTAATCTACCTTTAATTCCCTACAAAAATATTATCCTCTTATCTTTCAAAGTACTTTTCGTGTCGAAAAAAAAGAGATGGTTCTGTCACAGTTATTATTAAACAAAATGTGCGTGTATACACATGTACAAATATACACTGTTTATTTCATAACAAACTTTATTGTTTAGTCTATAAAAGTTTTTCTAACAAATAACGACGTATATTTGCTTCATTTCTACCCAAGAGTACTATGGTTACATTTAATCGCAAATGTGTAAACCAAATACCAATACAAATTCGAAATTTATTTCTCAATGTTTAAATCCTTTTTGTTGTTTCTGTTAAAGAGTCTGAAACTAGGACAGAGCATCTGACCAGTATCCATCCCCTGGTTTTTGGTGCTTCTCTAACTGATATCAGTATGCAGTCTAACTTCAAAATAATAATTTAAATTTATTGATTACTTAGAGATATTGAGAATGAATAAGTGAAATGTGTGTCACTATTCCGAATGATTAATGAAATAATTCAGTTTCATATAGGACGTTTAAAATTCCGCTTGTTACGTAAGACACTAAAATCTGCTAAAGTTTAAATAACATGTAAAGGGAACAATATTAAAAAAATTATATTTGTATAATCTCAGCGAAATTGAAATGAGTAATTCCAACGTGTAGTTCGGCAATCTGGTCCGAACTTCTTCAGGGAAATTAATCGAATTAAAATAAACAGGTTTATATATAAAAGGAACAACTCATGTTTTTAAATTTTGTCCAATCATGAGTCATGCAACAGTCATCAACATGTATAATAAATAAATAAATAAATTAGTATGTTTATATATAAAAGTACATCTCTTGTTTTAAATTGTTTGTCCTGTCATGTGAATCAAGAAACAGCTATCAATAGGTATAATATACAAAACAAAACAAAATTTTTATATGAACTGTGATCAAAATTTGACCTCAGACTTTCAAAATTAGTCTACTTTTGTTAAAATATATGTGTATATGTGTATATGCAGTATCAATGGTGTGTGTGTGTATGTGTGTGGGTGAACAGTCATAAAACATTTGTTATTCTCATAAGAGCTGTGATCAAGATTTGACCGGATGGCTACAAAATAATTGAGATTTTTTACAAATATAATATAATTTTATAAATTTGTTATTCTCTCCATAAGAAGACGTAGACAATCGGGAATTTGATCAAGTGTGACTAGTTGTTACACTCTAACATATCTACGGTTGCGAATCAGTCCTCTTAAGCTGGCTAAACAATCACCCAAACGCACTCATCTCCCCATCACACGATCTCCTACCTACCACCCTTGAACCGTCTCGCAACTCGTCGTTTCCCATTCGAGTTCCACTCGAGGGCTGGTATGGCGCATCGTTTCACTCAGTAGTCTTCTCAGTGTCTGTCCTATCCATCTCCACTTTCTTTGGAATATTCGTTGTCCAATAGGTTCTAGTTCGGTTGGTTGACAGACTTCCTTGTTAATAATCCTTTCTGGTTTCTTCACCTGATCTTCATTATGGAGCCAGCGAAGGCAACTGTTGATAAAAGTCTACATTAGGCTTTTCGAAATGCTTTTGGTGACACACGAAGTCTCTGAGTCATATAAAAGCACTAACTGATTCGACACTGGTGTTCAGAATCGAAATCCAGTCCTCTATTCTTAGTACAGTACATTTCTAGTCTGATTTTAGACCAATGAATGTCTGTTTCACTTTTCCGACCCTGGCTGACCTTGACATCTTCATTTGTGCCACCTGTGTAGTCGAAACGACGCTGCCCAAATAAGTGAAAGTGGCGAAGTTGTTCAGATTTCTTCCACTGATAGTGATCAGTGTTTTGTTGCTGACTAGCTTTTCATCGCTTTTGTCTTCTCTATGTTCACTCGAGATCCTGTCTTTGCTGCTTCTTCTGTCGACTTGTTGGTTTCCGCCTGTAAATCTATGAGTTTATGTGACATCAAGCATAAATCGGCCTTGAAGTTCAAATCTTCTAGAGTGTTCTTGTAAGTCTAACGTAGACCTCTGAGCACTGCTCACTGTTTATTAGTAAAATAGCAATGAATACTGAGTAGTGGTACGGGTAAATTTGTTTGTAGGTAGGATTATCCTATTCGATAGTTAGTCTAGCTAAACGTTTGAAGTTCTATCATATATATATATATATATATATATAATTTATTTTCTTCATATAGTGAAACTATATTATCTAAAAATAATTCTGATGAAATATTTAATGTTTTAAAAATCTTTATTCATTGAATTTCAGATCCTATGGGACGCGACCGTACAGTGGTATGGTTGGCGCTGGTGGTGGAAGTACTGGTCTATCTAACCCGGGCAATTTGTACAGTTATAGTGGCAGCGTTTTTCCGCATAATACTGGAACCACCCCACTATGCAGTTCATCACAGGATACTTGTGCAACACAACAAAGTCGTAGTCAAGCAGATCCACATGAACACACAAGACTTTTATCCTCAGGTACTAGTACAGTGACAAATTATAATCCAGCTAGTTTATCCCACTTACAGTATAATAATTCGGAAACCAATCTTGATACAAACTTGTTAGATAATACTATGAATCAGGATAAAATATTTCCTGCAGAAGAACAACAGATAACTCCATCCCCCTATTTATCAGCACCACGAACACACAGTTCTGAAGTAGTCAATGGTAGTAACACTGATCTACAACCGCATCGAATTCCAACAAATCTACACAATACACAAACAGCTTATACGACAGAGAATCAAAGAGTAGTTCTAAATGTATCTGGACTAAGATTTGAGACACAATTCAGTACACTGAAAAAATTTCCCAACACCCTATTAGGTAATCCTAAAAAATTGGATAGATATTATGATTCCTTACGGAATGAATACTTTTTTGATAGAAATCGACCTAGTTTTGATGCTATTCTTTATTATTATCAAAGTGGAGGAAGGCTACGTCGTCCAGTCAATGTACCTATTGATGTGTTTACTGAAGAAATCAATTTTTATGAAATCGATGAAGACGCTGTAGAAAAATATCGTGATGATGAAGGCTTTATTCGTGAAGATGTTAAAGTTCTACCAGAGAATAAATTCCAGCGGAAAGTATGGCTGTTATTTGAATATCCTGAAAGTTCTTTAGCTGCACGTTGTGTAGCTATTTGTTCTGTTTTTGTAATTATTCTCTCTATTATAATATTCTGTGTAGAAACTCTACCGTCTTTCAAACATTATAAATTTGTAAATTTATCTGCCCATGGTGTTCCAGTATTGCTGTCAAACTTTAATATAAGTCAAAAAACAACTACACTTAGACAGAATTCATCATCACAATTCATATCAGCTGATGATGCTACATTTTCACATAAAAATAAAGAGGATTTAAGCCTGGTTAGACATGAATGTCGTCAATATCATGATCCAATGAAATGTCTTGAAATCACTGAAGATGATATTCCAGCAGTTGAAGATCCATTTTTTCTTATCGAAACAATATGCATTGTTTGGTTCACTTTTGAATTACTCGTTCGATTCGCTTCTTCACCAGAAAAAATTGCATTTTTTAAAAATATCATGAATTTCATTGATATTGTCGCCATTATTCCATATTTTATCACTGTTGGCACTATGGTTGCGGATGAGAGTAAAAGTCAAAATCAAGCAATGTCACTAGCCATTCTGAGAGTGATTCGACTTGTTCGTGTTTTCCGGATATTTAAACTGTCAAGACATTCAAAAGGATTACAGATTCTTGGACAGACACTGAAGGCCAGTACACGAGAATTAGGCTTATTAGTATTTTTCTTGCTTATTTGTGTAATTCTCTTCTCATCAGCTGTCTACTTCGCTGAGGTGGACTCAGATAGGACTTATTTTCGTAGTATACCAGATGCATTCTGGTGGGCAGTGGTGACTATGACCACTGTAGGTTATGGTGATATGAGACCAGTTACAATGGTGGGTAAACTTGTTGGTTCACTATGTGCCATAGCTGGTGTATTGACTATAGCTCTTCCAGTCCCTGTGATTGTTTCAAACTTTAATTACTTTTATCACCGAGAAACTGAAACTGAAGATAAACAGACATTTATACACGTTCAGTCATGCACAAGTTATGCTAATCTCAGTATGAGTAGTCTACACTCAGATAGTAAATGCAATAAAGAAACAAATTCAACTGATATAAAGCAAGAGTACAAACTAAACGAACTGCAAATTACGCATGAGCAGACTCAGCATGAAAATTCTCAAAAACGAATAAAATCACTAATTAATTGGCCAAATATGTATCAGGAAGATAACTATTTGAATAAAACTAGCAAAAATACATCTCCGTCTAAAGGAAGCATTGAACACGCTAATGTTTCTGTACCTACAACAACAACTAACTGGCCTGTTGAAATAAATCCTTCATCCCGAAAGAATTTTTCTTCAATGGAAGCAACTTATCCATTTTTGACTTCAGAAAAAAGTGATATTGCTGATTCAATGAGAAATAGTGCAACTATACACTGTTTCGGTTTAACTCCTTCCAGTAATAAACCTAACATCTTCGAGGACAACTCTTTCCAAGAAACTGACGAACATATTCCAATTGTATCACAACAGGCCGACTCATGCCTACAAGAAAACACTCAAGTGACGTCCAGTAGTAAAATAAGTCGTAGCTTATCTTTACCATCATGTATCTCAGCTAAAAAGATGAATCTACGTGAAAATGCCACTCCATCTTCAGCTGCTGAACAGCATACAACTGGTTGTTTTGACTGTTTGCATGAAACACTACAAGAATCTGATGAAAATCAAACTGTAGAACAAGGAGATGAGAAATACTCAACAGTTGTTTATTATTTAGAAGATGACATTTTCAAAAATCCAGAAGATCAGAGTATTTGTAAAGTTGATCATACAAAACCAGAAGTTAGGAAAAGTGAGTTATCAGAAAAAATAATTTGTAAAGAGTCACAATCAGTCAAAAAAGCAGACAGATTATCAACACTCAATACAACAGATACCACAATGTGCAATAGTCCACAAATTTCTCTGATCTCTAGTCCTAAAAGGATTAAAATACCAAGCAGTAATAGCAGTGGTAATATTACAAATAGTAGAAAATCACAAGTATTTTATGACACTAAACAACAGCATTCATTTAGTAAGACAATAGAGACAGATGTTTAATATCTCTTATATTGATTGACTACTTACTAATCACCAAAATTAATGAAATTCTCCTGCTTACTTTCTACTTCCCTGATAAAATGGATATGCTTTAATTATGTATATATGACTAAATGAAGATAATATTTCAGATTTTGTTATCGTATTTGCCATTTGTGATTTCATATTATTTCTACATCGATTTGATGTCGTCAAATCAACAAGTATTCCAATGGTGAACGTTTATTCAATATTTTCTAGTAAACCCACAATTTCTTTGAATGGACATGACAAACTACTGTTTTCATTAAATAGTAGTAAAATGTTTTAATCGAAATATCTCGGTTCAGTAATGAAGTATCTATCGATCATATTGGATTACGTACATAAAATTTCGATTAACATTAAAGAATTCTGATTTTATTATCTGTTATATATAATTACAGTGGTAAAGAAGCAAGATATATCATCCTTGTTAACTAGAACTTACCGAGTGTCCTGAGATTCTTTCAAATTCTTTCGAATAGAATCTTTTTACTAAGCAGTTATTTCCTACAATGGAACAATTATCATTCTTTTATTATTATGATGAAGAATTGAGAAAGTGTGAAAAAAGGGTTGTTTCTTATTCTTCTCACTTTTTCTCCATTTCACATTATTTATATATACATATATTCATACATTTGTATTTTTTTAAACTATATTCGAAGATTGTACAATTTTTCAGTAATATGTCTAGTGATATATTTTTAACAAATTGGACTTCTAACTGACCATCATGGGTAGCATATTTATCAGTATTGGACTAATAGGGTATTCTTAAAGTTCTGTAGCTTTGAAACAAGTTTAAAATGAAATGATTTTTGTTGACAAACTGCCAACAGTTAATATGAACTGCAAAAGAGGAAGTTAAAAAGGTAGACGTGAATTCCAGGAATCTACAAAAAAACTTTACTTAGAAATGTGTTTTTAAAACACCCATCATTCCTCTGTCTTATCTTTACTAATCAGAAAGGTGACTGTTAATGAATACGGAAATATTTATTACTATTATTGTTATTCCCTTGGGTTCCGAGTGGAACACAGTGCTTCAAAAACACATCATTTTGTTCTATTTCTGCTGTCCTCTTCACTTGGGCCCACGATTGACCATAATCTCTCACCTCCTCCTTGCAGGATCTCATCTGTGTCACCCTCGCACCAACGACCCACTCGTTGCTTCCCATTGGGATTCCACTCGAGCGATGACCTGCGATGGGCGCGATGACACTGGATGGTCTCCACAACGCATGCAGAATTCATCTCCCTTTTCTCCTACATATTCGTAAAGCAGTTGGTTCTTCACCTCCCAGAGTTCTGGTTGCTAATTCTTTCTTGTTGGCTGGCTATTTGATCTTCAGTATGCAGCCAACGAAGGCAGCTGTTGATGAAAGTCTGCAACCTGTTGGAAATCCTTTTCGTGACTCACATACAGTGCAAGTTTCTGACCCATATAGAAGAACTGACTGAATGACTTCACATTTGTGTTGAAAATCTCAATCTTGTTCTTTATGCTGAGGAGTGCAGAGGATTTCCAAACTGATTTCAGGTTGATGAAGGCTTATCTTGCATTTCCGCTTCTGACTGGCTTTCACATCCTCATCCGCGCCACTCCCTGTGGTTGAAACCTGATAAGTGAAGGAAATGATCTTTGTCAAATCTCTCCCGTTGATGGTGATTGGTGCTGGTTGTCGTTGCTGTTGCTGTTGGTTGGTTACCTTCATCACCTCCATCTTCTCTATGTTCACTCACAGTCTTGTCTTCTCTGCCTGCCTCTCCTGCCAGTTTGTTGGTTTTCGCCTGCCTGAAAGTCTTCGAGTTTGTGACATTAAACATATATCATCTGCGAAATCCAGATCTTCTAGTCTTCTTATCGGTCCAGCGTATTCCTGTCTTCTCATTCCCAAAGTACATTTTGACACATAAGAATATCATCGGTGATAAAAGGCAGCCTTATCTTACTCCCGTATTCACTTCGAACGCCTCACTGAGTTTCCCGCTATGGATCACCTGACACGTCGTGGCATTGTCGTATAGCCAGCTGTTGAATGAGGTTGATAAAGACTTGGGCACTGCACGCAGCAATGTTGAAGCAGTTTGCAAATTACTTCTCGGTCAACACTGTCTGTAGAAGGCATTTGCTAAGTCGATGAAGTTAAGGTAGATGTTTTACTGCCATTCTATGCTTTGTTCTGTGATGACGATGCGCAGAGTTGCAATTTGATCAGTAAACGATTTGCCTTTCCTGAATCTAGCTTGTTCCGGTTGGCGGAGTTCTGCATATAGGGCATCTTTTATCCTCTCCAGGATGACACAACTTAGCTTTTTACTTGTCGTGGACAAGGGCATTATTCCACGCCAGTTCTTGCAGAGGCCTAACTAGGTTGCCCTTCTTTGGTAGCCTGACAAGGTAACTAGCCTTTCTTCCAATGGGTAGGTACCTCACCTTCTTTCCAAACCTTTTGCAATAATTGCGTGAGAATATCTGCCGCAGTTTCTGGGTCCGTTTTCAGTGCTTTGGGGGGGGGGATTCCGTCTGGTCCTGCTGCCTTCCCGGTTGGTGTTCAGTAGCTTGATCGCATCTAGGATTTCTGCTTTCGTTGGAGGATTGGCGTCCACTGGTAGGCAGTTGTGTGTGTGCTATTGGTGGTATTTCTGGGAGGGCTGCAGGTGATATTCGATTCAAGAGTCCTTTGAAGTGATCAACTCATTGTTTTATTTCTCTCTCGTTCTTAGCAATCGGGTTCTTTTGACCGCCTTTCATAAGTTTCACCTACTTTATTAACTTCCCAGACAGAGACCTGGTTATCTTGTAACGACAGAAGACAAGGGCCAGGCAACAGATCGTTTATTGAGAAAATCAACAGATATTTATAGATTTTTATGTACATTATTATTCGTTATTGTTAGCAAAGAAGCAGTGTCTTCTGATTGGTTGTTTTCCTGATGAAGGTTATTCTGTCATCTCTTTGTTGCCGTTTCTTAGACAGTCCGGTGATATATCTGCGAATCGTATCCGCTTACGCAAAGTTTTCTGCGATTGGTTTTTGAGTTCCTCAAGGTTGGGGTTTGTTCTTGTTTTCCCTCCTAACCCCAATTCGGGACGTAAACATTGATGTATATTGTTGCATACAGTTTTGGCTTGCAGACAGTTCTCACCACAATCTAATATAGTGTCCTGATGTCTCTTTTGCCTGCGTCATGCCTGTTCTGCTACAGTTGCCAGTATGTCGTAGAACTATCGTTTGTCTTTTCTAGCACTCTTCTTCACTTCTTTATTCAGTGCAGTGTACACTGATCCCAGCTTCTCCTTCTGTTGTCCATCTTTGCATTGAGTCATCTCTTTCACCATCCTCCTCTCCTCGATTAGCTCCCAGGTGTCCGTTGACAGCCATTCCTTGTCGTGTCTCTTCCTTCTTCCTAGAACAGTTGTACACGTTTCCTTAAATATCGCTTTCGGAGAGTTCCAGTGTTTTTCCACACAGGTCTCCTCAGTGATATCACGTAGTGTCTCCGACTTTGCTCTGATATCTGTAGCGAAGGCATCCCTAGTAGTTTTCTCCTTCAGTTTCTGATTGTTGAACTTGAATTGTGGTCCGTTTCCATTTGTTTTCATGGATTTCAGATTCACCTTGAAGGTTCCTTGAACTAGATGATGGTCTGAGCCCACATCTGCTCCCCTTCTCTACTATGTACCCAGCAGGCTGCATCTCCACTCCTTTGAACAACATTGAGATGAAGCCTGTCTGTTTTTGGTTAGTCCGTCAGGCGAAATCCATGTTGCTTTGTGTATATCCTTGTGCTTGTATACGCTGCCTCCAATCACCAAGCCATTGAAAGCGTAGAAGTCTGCGAATAATTCTCCGTTCTCATTCATTTCGCCGAGCGACAGCCTCTCAACCCATGATGAGTTCTCTTCCTGTATTATCTGCTCCTAGTTTGGCTTGTATCGCATGATGATTTTGATGTCACCATTTGGGATGTTGTCCATTACTGTTTGTAGTTGTTGACAGAAATCTTCCTTCTTCTCTTGTTCCGCACTGTTTGTAGCATTGTGCTTAGCATTGGATAAATGCAACCTTCCTTCCTTCTGAGTTGAATCTTGCTGTCATAATCTTGGATGAAATTGGTTCCCACTGCATCAGGGCTCTGGCTGCCACTGGTGACATCATCATAGCCACTCTCTCAGTCTGTTCGTGGTTGTCGTCTGGATGACCAGATCAGAGTAGATTACTGACTCACCAGCTGACAATTTTGCAATCCACATCCATTCCATCTGCTCTCGCAGATATGTCAGATCTTCGCATTTCTTTGGTTACCTTGGCAGCCTTCCCAGCCAGCCTCGTACACTGTACGGACATTCCACGTCTCCATTCTTATTCCTGCTTTCATCGGGAGATGACACATCGGCTGACTGACTGACCTCTCCGATTCCAGCGAAGAATAAGTTTGTTGTGGACAAGAACTATTGGAAAGACGACTAAGTGTTTTCATAAAATCTGTATGAAAATGCAATGTTATTAATAAACAGTGGTAGGGTGATAACAAAATATGGATGATGGGAATAATAATGATAATGAAATAATAATAACAATAATAATAGTAAGCTTACATAATAAAAAGAAACACAATTATAGTAAGAATGTTACTCTGGCCACGGTAGGGGGAGTGAATGTATGTAGTGCTTTTGAATGCAGAGATCCGGTTTCCGATCCCGAATAGCCAATGATTCAGCTACGTACAGATGGCGTATTCGAAGTCCTTTCGTATGATATTGAGGGATTCTATGTAACACTGTGCTTGACTTCCAGAGTTGACAAGGTGTTCGGGGATGGAGCTGCTATTATTCTTCTTTTCTCCTCTGGCTAACCAAGCTGGACAGTGTTCCAGATTACTTTTATGGACTTGACGTTGCGTACGGCCGATATCCTTTGCTCCACGCGAGCAAGTAAACTGATAAATACCCACTGAGGTAGCGAAAAGCGGCATTTTATCCTTAACGCCAGACTGGATTAGCTGTTTGCTGGAGAATGTGATACGTAAGGTAGCTGCTTGAAATGTCTTCTTCAGACATTTAGAGAGGCGGTTTCTAAGAATTTCTGCTTCGATATCCCCTTTAAATTCCAGGTTCATGAAGAGAGTTTTCTTAGGAATAGTTATGATTTTTGACGATGGAAGCTTTCCCTTCATGTGTTCGTCGATGAATCTCGGTGGATACGCGTTCTCTTTGTCGTTTTTCCACTAGTTCTAGACCACTCTACACAGTTACATTGATGTGTCATTTTCTTACACTTCCGACCCTTTTATAATTTCCAATTAGCCAGGCCTTCTAGATTACACTTTACATTATGTTACACATTTTCGAGGACAAATTTTACCAGTACCTGATAAGTTTTATGAATTTTTTGTTAAATATAATTAAGATTGTGCAGCTTATGAAAATGAATCGTCTAAAAGAAAGTTATCTTCTTTGTGTACGTCATGTTCTTATGAATCAATATGGGGATATTTCGATCATATTCACAATCAGTTAACAACACAGAGTTGTATCTTCATTTTCATTACAAATCCGTATTATATAGTGAATAAGAAACATAGCAATACCTATCTTTTATTAACCATTACCTCTTTATCAGTGTAATGGTAAAAGAATACTTGAATAATCTAAGAT